TTATAGAATAATTAAATTTAATACTACTAATAATAATAATAATAATAATAATTATTATTATTATTACTACTACTTTAACCTAATTACCAGTTAGTATAAAACTAGTTTTTATAGACTTTTTGACTACAGTTCTGTTGTTGTTTTTTCACTGCTTTTTAAATAATTTTATCATCATTATTTTTTTTTTTTAACATTTACACTATTTATATATTATAAATTAGTTTTGTTTGAATCAAAACTAGCTTAAAAATGAGAGATACAACATGTGATTCACCTTAAGGAGAAAATAACACAAATAAGAAAAACTGAAAGCATAGCGTTTTTTTTTAAAAGCGTGTTTCTTCCGGCTGCGTTGTTGCTGCTGATTGCTCTCAGTGCAGTGTTAGTTTTGACCGCAAACTTTCATTTAGTTTTAGTCATAGTCTTTTGACTACAATGCCATTTAGTTTTAGTCATATTTTAGTCATCTGAGTTGTTTTTAGTTTTTGTCTAGTTTTAGTCGACTAAATATCATAAGATTTTAGTCGACTAAATCTACAGTAAATTTAGACGGCTAAAATCGAATGGGTTTAGTTTAGGGGTGTGCGATATTGACAGAAAATTATATCTCGATATTTTATGGGATCAATTAGCAATTCATGTCATTTTATCTTGGAAGCAGATTTGTTACGTGACCGCATTAATGCACGACTCTACATTATCTGTATAGCATGTGTGTAAGACTCGAATACAATTATGAAGTAGTAATTTTATGACGAATAAATCTTTCAGTGAGTAAAACTGGCTGTGTCTATAGTATTAAAGACTACACAACATGATTATATTATCTTTAAATACATTTTTAAATGATTATTATTTTAAATTATTGTCCCTGGATTAGTAGGGTACTCTTGTAATAAAGTAGCGATGGCTGGGACAGATTTTAAGTATCAATTCTGCTTAAAAAGATGCAATCTAATCTTGTTTACATGAAATAAGCTGCTCCCGAGCAGGTTTAAGCTTACAGACCTGTTGCTATGACAGCAACTCCGGGATGAGCGTCGAAGAACCAAACAATCCAAGATCAGGCCAAATCATCAACAATTAAATCCAGCTAACAGAGTTAGCGACGTACGAAGAACGGGCCGCAGTGCTTCAGGCCTGTGTCAGTAATCGTGGATCACATGACTTCAGTTATCCTGCACTGTGATGGAGATCAGTGTTGTTTTACTCATTTGTGAGACTATTCTACTTTTTATTAATATTTTGTGAATTTTATTAATCATCTTATGAATAAGCTTTTATTTTTATATCTTTTCTTTTAATGTTTAATAATGTTATTTTAGTACATCCAATCAAAATGAGAAATGTTTCCTTGGCAATGAGCTAAAATAAAGTTGTTTTTTTTTTTGTTTTTTTTTTGTTGTTGTTTTTTTAAGTAATAAATGTTTTTTATGGATTTAGTTTAACAAAAATAAATTGAAACATTTTTTATATAGTTTTTTTTTTTTTTTGTCTTTTCATTTTAACTAGTTTTAATAATTTTGTGTGTTTTTGTCTTATGTATTTTATATGAATTTTATTTCAGTTAGTTAATTTTTGTACATCAAGTTACACTGAGAAATATTGCTTTGGCAACTAACTAAAATATATTTTATTTCAGTTATAGTTTTATTTCAAGTCATGAAAATAATTTATGGTTTTAGTTTGTTACTGACAATATATTAAACTTTATTATTTATATATTTTATATTTAGTTTTTTTTTTTTTTGTCTAAATAGTTGTTAATTTTCATTCCAGTTTTAGTTTGTTGGTTTTGTGCATTACACTGTAAAAATGAGAAATGTTGCCTTGGCAACTAGATAGATAAATATTTCTATATTTTATCTAGATAGATACATACATATAGATATATATTTATAGATAGATAGATAAATAAAGATTTGTTTATTTTATTTCTGCTAAAGTTTTGTTTCAAGTAACGCAAGTTTTTTTTTTTTTTTTGTATGGTTTTATTTTAACAGTAATAAATGTGAAAATAAATTAAAACTTTATTTTTATATTTTAATATATTTTTCTGTTTTTATATATTTTTATATATTTTTTAAATGTTTTGTCTTTTCATTTTAACTTTAGTTAGTTTTAGTAATTGTTTATTTATTTTTTTTTTTTTTTATATATTTTTATATATTTTTTAAATGTTTTGTCTTTTCATTTTAACTTTAGTTAGTTTTAGTAATTGTTTATTTATTTATTTTATTTTTTTTGTGTACGTCAGCCCACTGTGTGACTAAAAGTTGACTGATAGGAACGAGTATAAGTCCTGCCCAGCTTGAGTTGTTATAATGTGCAGTCGTTTCCAAACCTTGAACCCAATGAAGTAAAGCAAGTAAACTCTTCCTCTGCCTTACAGCTGGAGTCTGGGCTGCAGAACCTCAAAGCCCAGCTGAACTCGGAGATGCTGCGGCGCGTGGACGCTGAGAACCAGCTCCAGACGCTTCAGGAGCAGCTGGACTTCCAGAAGCATCTCAGTGAACAGGTTTCTGCTGTGTTCTAGTTCTAGATGCTGGTTAGCACAGACAGGGCTCTGACTGCGTCTGCGCTGCTGCTGCTGCTGCTGCTGTGTGTGTGCAGGAGGTGCGTGAGATGCGCAGTCGTCACGAGAGCCGGCTGGTGGAGCTGGACAGCGGCAGACAGAAGGAGTTCGAGGGGAAACTAGCCGAAGCCCTGAAGCAGCTCCGAGAGGAACATGAAGCTCAAATCCAGCAGTACAAAGAGGAGCTGCAGAAAACCTTCGCCGCTAAGGTACAACCGTCTGCTTCTGTTCTCACCTGAACGTTTTGTTCAGAAACGCTCATTCATTTTATTTATAATCTAAAAAGTATTTTCTCCCAAGGCCTGCTTACGTTTATATTTTTATATTTGTAATTTTATTATATATACAATTACAGCAAATTAAAAAAAAAAAGTATTGTTATGTATGTGTGTATATGTCTGTGTGTGTATACAAATATATATGTGTGTGTGTGTTGATAATTATATATAATATATAATTACTTCTCAATTTTATTTTATTTTAGTCATAATATATTTTTGCATGACAATCTCCTTTCTTCTCTGCCCCTGCACGAGTCACCCGGCACTTTTCTAGTGTGCACACTCGTAAAACACGCTGTCAGTCAGTAATGCAGTACATGTCTTACTAGCTTTCTATCAGCTGGCTAGTGTTCATGTGTGCATGTTACACTGTATCTGACCAGCACTGAGCAGCATTGAGCAGCAGCCAGTGAAACTGCAAAACAGACTGCGAGAGCAGAAATAAAAACAGCTTTGCTCCCTTCCTTGGCAGAATAGAAGAGACAAGCTGCCCAAAATCCCAAATACTTTCCTCAGTTTCCTCCAGATGCTGGTGCTTTTAAAGCGGATGTGTATGAGACTATAAACCACATGTTCAGCAAATTCCCCTTCTCTTCAGATGAAAACTGACTGGAGGAAAGGCCATATATGCTTATTTCTTTGCAGTTTTATGAATTTTCTGATGCGTTTCGTAATGCAGCAGCAATGCACAAAATCAAGCGTTAACCAGCTTAACCCTTCTATCGCATTCAATTCAGTTTCACTCTGAAGCAGCTCATCATTTCTAAAAAAAATCCATAGTTTTTAGTACAGGGAAAATGTTGTATATGGATTTAAACTATCAAAATACACTTCTTTTTTTTTTCCAGATTTAAAAAAATATTTCTTAAGGTATATAGCCATGTGAACTGAATTGTTACATTTCTGGAGTTCAGATCAGTTTTGACTGGGAAGCGGTTCATCATTTCTAAAAAAATCCATAGTTTTGAGTATGGAGAAAAACTCTGCATATGGATTAAGACTATCAAAATAAATTTTATTTATTAATGTTTTATTTTAATTTTTTTCCAGATTTTAAAAAATAAGTTTTAAGAGGTATAACCATTTAAACTAAATTGTTACATCTTTGGAGCCAGAAGCGGTGCTTAATGTCTAAAAAAAATCCATAGTTTTTAGTACGGGAAAAAAAATTGTATATGGATTAAGGCTACCAAAATACATTTTATAATTTTTTTTTTCTTTTTTTTTTTTTTCCAGATTTAAAAAAAATATTTTTTAAGAGGTATAACCATATAAACTAAATTGTTACATCTTTGGAATTCGGGTCAGTTTTGACCCCAAAAAGGGTTACATAAAAATGTACGGGAAAAAAATAAATGCATATGGATTAAGACTACCAAAATATGCATCATTTATTTTTTTCAGATTTTTTAAATAGTTTTTAAGATATATAACCATTTAAAGTAAATTGTTACATCTTTGGAATTCGGGTCGGTTTTGACCCGGAAGCGGTTCATTTAAAAAATTTAAAAGTTAATAGCTTTTAGTACGGGAAACCGTTTTTTTGCATATGGAGTAAGACTATCAAAATACACTTATTTTTTCCAGATTTTTACAATTATTTTAAACTAAATCATTACACGTTTTGCATTCGGGTCAGTTTTGACCCAGAAGTGAACTGTGGCTTTACACGTGAAATTATGCTGCTTTTTTGTTCGTTTTACACATGTATTAGTTAGATTTGTCTTGAATTACTTCTGTAAAATACATTTAGCCTCTTTCCCGAATGTCACCCACACTTCTAGGATTTTTGATGGTAAATTTAAATATGCTCGGCATGCACAAAAACACCGTAAACCGACAAAAGATGTAACTGACATGACAAATTAACTCTATCTAATGAACTACACGATGTAGGTCAAAAGTACAAAGAACAAATAGTCTAAATTTGAAAGCTGCCACCTATTGATGAAGCACGGTCGATCGTCTTTTCATCCGAAGGTGAAACTTCATGCAACTGAAATAAATCTATTTAATTTGAAAACATTCCAGAGTGACATTTGTTGCTTTGATGTTGTTTTGTTAGAAAAAAGAATATGTACAGTTTTTGATCAATTTAATTCATTAATACTGATAATTATCAGTTTATCTGTTCTTATAAATTTCATATAATTTAGATATTGAAATAACATTTCTCAGGAATACTGCAAAAAAAGATTATGTATCTCACGTCACAGTTGTTTTGCGATAGTTCTTGTAAATTTTGAAATTTCATAGAATTTGTCAATTTTTTTTAAATGGACAACAAGGGGTTAAAATGTAGTAGCAGCATAGTAAAACAGGGTAGCATTCAGAGGTTTGACATTTTTGCACTTTCACTCATTAATGAGAAGTTAATGATACAAATACAATATGGTGTTCGTTGAAAAATATGAAGTTATGACTGTTTAATAAGCTCGGGTCAAAAATGACCCGGGAAGAGTCTAATGCGATTTAAGGGTTAAAGAGGCTTTTCCAGCAGTCAGAGATGTACATTTATCCGTCTGTCTCTCAGAGCGAGGTAGTCTGCAGTTTCTCTCAGCTGAGGTGCAGGAAAACTGTAGTTCAGGGATTTGAGCGACAGGAAGTGGCTGCTGCGACCTGGACGCACAGGAAGTGCTTGAGTCCGTCACGTCTGTCTGTCATGGTACCTCAGCAATGTGTCAGTCATTTCACAGAACAAGCTGGTTTCCAGGTTCTCAGTGCTCTGCGTTGATCTCTTGCAGCTGGAGAATGCCAAGCAGGCGGCGGTGAAGAACAGCGACTTCGCCTCGTCGACGAGAGAAGAGCTGGCGGGAACTAAACTCAGACTGGAGTCTCAGTCGCTGCAGATCAACAACCTGCAGAAACAGGTAATGATCCTATAGCTGGGAACCACCTTGAAAGAGGTTTTTAGTTCAGATTTGGTCATTTTAAGCTCATCTACACTAATGTTCCATTTCTGATTATTATTATTAATATTATTATTATTATGTTGAAAACAGTTGAGTATAATTTTTTCAGGGTTCTTTGATGAATAGAAAGATCCAAAGATCAAAGATCAAAGAGCAGAAAAGCTTTTGTGACATCATACAAAATAAATTATAGAAATTAATATTTTTATTCATCAAGGCTGCATTAAATTGATCAAAAGTGACAGTAAAGACATTTATAATGTTAGAAAAGATTTCTATTTCAAATAAATGCTGTTCTTTTGAACTTTCTATTCATCTGTGAAT